TAAACTTCCCGACAAGTGACCACATCGTATCTACAGTTCTCAAATGTAATAATGTTCACAGGCAACTTCAAGAAGCGACTCAGTTCAGATGAACTAGCTTTTTGTAACTTTGTTCCGATGTACAAACCTTAGCCAATTATTTTCATACAACGTGGGAAGGGCTAATTGTTCCCCTTGCTTTGAACATGGTGGGCTACCGCTGGTTTGCAGGCTTCCATTGAAAACCCCTGGCGAGGCGACCAATATTGAATTTAAATTAAAATTAATAGTTATACATCCAGTGGGGAGTCGTTCTGGCACCGCCTCCTGCCTGGCAACAATCACTGGTCCGCTGCCAAGTTGTTTGACGCACGCTGCGCTGGTTGATTCTTTTCAGAAAGACAGCGGACAGCTTCAGAAATTTGATAAATGGGTCAGGAACCACTCCCATTCAGGCTTGCCCTGAAAGCACCGGCATTTGCGCATAAAAACTGCTGCTGATTCAATTTCTTCCTTCATCAACGCCGGCTTGGGATGGTAAGGCTTCTCAAGGTCGGGCATCGGGGCGCCCGGGCCCAGAAGGTTGTCAGCCTCGCATGATGGATGGCCACTCCCGTAAATGAGGAATTGAAGCCGGAGCAAGATTTGATCCAAACATCCAAGCCACTCTACATCAGGATTGGTTGCGGCGTAGTAGCCAATCACATTTCTCAGGTTTTCAATGGCATCTTCCTCCGGGTGGTTCCACAGCATCGTGTCGTCATTGAAGAAGCGCATCGCCTCATGCAAGGCGTTGGGATGGTCAGCCAGGGCATCTAAGTTTGCTGACTCAGAATGCTGCTTGCACTCCATGGCTTCAAGTAAACGAACTGAGGACCCTGTCAAGCAAAAACACTTGCCGGTCATGTATTAAAAACTAACAATCGTCTGAACCCAACTTGTGCCTGACATGCACGTCCAAGATGCTGTGCCACTACTGTTACTGAACAGAGTAACACCTTTGCGCAGCAATCCCCTGCCTGGAATTCAGCACCAGTGAGAGGAACAGCTCATTTTCCCTCAAAACTGTAGGCTTCACCCTCCGGTTCAGTCAGGCCCGAGGTTCTGCTACTTACTATCAGGAGTGCTCCACTCAGAACAATTGGCACGGCGGTAAGTCCTGGGAGGTGTCTGAGGTGTCTTCAGCAAATTCCCCTTGCCTGCCGCAGGCTTTTTGCGGGGCTTGGTGATGCTGCTTGGTGGGCCAGCTTTTAAGGGACTGCGCTGCGCACTCTTTGTGGGACTTGCTGCTCCAGCCTTCGGCTTTGGCGCGACGGCAGCCATGCCGAACTTCTTCTTCTTCTTCTCTTTCGGCTCCACGTCGTCGTGCCATTCAGGCTCGCTGAGCTTGAAGACAATCATCTTCTTCTTTGAGTCTGACAGATTCAAGATCTTCAAATATTTCTCCTGCATCGTGCGTTTAACCAACACCCGACTCTACTACCCAACCTACTTAAAAACATTTCTGGAAACAAAGTTTGAATCTAAAATATTGGCAAGGCACGCAGGCACCCTGAGCGTCGGCGGCTTCAAATCCTGGTAAGAGCTTGCTTGGGGGCACCTTTTCCAGCATTGCCGGAATCGAGGGAAAGACCATGACGTCGCTGATGGTCGCTGCCAGGCGTTGACGGCGAAACCAATGAAACCCGATCTTGTCGCCCCTCACCAAGCTGCCCAACTTGGCACCGGTATCCTTCAGATAGCGCGCCTCAAACTCTTTCTGCCCATCCCTGATCTGCTCAGCATACTCCTTGGCGATGGTGAGGGTCAATTTGACGTCCATTTGTCTAAGACTTGCTGCCGACCTATTTGCTTTTGAGCACTCTTGCTGCTACAATCACAAGTAGCCATTCAATCAAGAAAGCTAGGTCCTGCACGCATGACGAGCATTAAGGACGCCCTGATTGATTCCACACACATCTAAACCTAAACCCCGCAACCCCACCAAAAACACCACCTCAACCCTATTCCGCCCATCCCGGAAACAGGCCATTTTGTGGACATAGGCGAAGCGGTTGTCTTGTCACCGGTTCACTGGTCAAGGCCCATTGCCTGGAAAATGCAATGGATGAGCTTCGTGAGCAAGCACGTGCTGAAGGCATTACCCACCATCTCTCCCATCTGTTTTGTGGACACAATGCTCCCCCAACTTGTGTAGGCCCGCTCAGGGATCCCTTGCAAGGCCATGTAATCCTCCAGCGTCAAGAATCGTTGCCTGGCAATGCCTCAGTGTCAAGTTCTGACTGGCAGCTCTCGCCCAAGTTGCCTTTTAAAGTCTCAATTATTTTCGGATCACCGGTTAAAAAGAAAACTCAATATATCAACATCAAGTCACTGTAGAACCCGTATTGGCTCCCAGCTCTGGCCCGGGTTATTGTTGGGCATATAGCCTCGCTTCCCAGCGAAACCTTGCTGCCTGCCACATCCACGATGACATCTCCAGGCGGTGGTTTTGCCAACACTTCGCACAGGTTCTTCAAGACACTGACTGGCGGTTCATTTTTCTCAACAGGGCGCCTCCACGGAATGAAGTCTGACAAGGGTCTGGTCTGAACTTTTGTTGGCCAGGCAAAGTCTCGCACCTGGCAATCCACGCGAATGCCGATCACAAACACGCGGACTCGCGCCTGCGGTGTGCCAAAATCCGAGGTCTTCAGCAAGCGGTACCTGAGTCTGAGCTCACATTAAAGAATTAATATTTAAAGTAATCCTGCCCCTTCCGTTTTTATTGTCCGTGTCAAAACCGAAATGTACTAATTAGCTAGACTAAATGTCTGAAAAGACGCTGCACATTGTACGCTGCGCTGCCGTTGTCAGCCTTAATACTGCGCAAATCTTCAATCAACGTGGAGAGAACTTCCGGGAACATTGTCACCATGCCACCTACGTTCTCAAGGAGAAAGCTTCTTGGACGAAACTTGTCGATGAAGGAGGGCCCCGATGTCACGAGTTGTCCTCGACCATCTCCGAATCCACCCTTCGCACCTGCCACTGAGTACGACTGGCAGGGACTGCCGTTTGTGTACAGGTCCAATGTGTTTTTCCACTGCTTGACATAAGGAGACTTGTCAGCCATGCAATCGTCAAGTAGCACTTGTGGCTCACAAAACTTTTCCAAAAACTTCCGGCATGACTTGTTGGAATCACTTGCCATGGCATGGCAGATTTTTACTGGATGAGGCCAGGTCTTAGTGCACAGCTCACAGGCCTTGTGCTCTGTGCCCATCCCGCTGCAATCGCTTGCAAGACGGATGGAACGTGGGTGCAGCCACTTCCGACTGGGAGCACGGCCACAGACTTGAGGTAAGGACTCAGGTGGCAAGGTCTGACATCGATCACCCGAACAACGGGCTGAATTCCCTTTCCCTTTCTTCCCTTTCCCACCAGCCGCTGGTCTTTTCATTGGCTGTCCATTGCCACTGCCAGGCCGTGGAACACCTGACACTGAATCTGAACAGCTGAGCGCTGTCTGAGTCTTCTTCTTTCTGATTGTTTTCTGGACAGGCTGCGCCCCTGAATCTTTCCTGGACAAAGGGCCAGTCTTTCTCTTTGAGTTTCTTGGTGGTGGTTTGTCCGGGAGGTTTGGGGGGCTCGGCCTGGCACTGGACCTTGCCTTTGCTGCTGAGGCCGCCTTCTTTTTTGGTTGGGCTTTTGCAGCTCCTACCACTGCAATGCCATGGCCGCCATCCAAAGGGAAATCAAAAAGGAAGTCGTCCATGTCAACGACTATTATTGGACCCTGGATCCTGCTGCTCAAGCATAGCAAAGCGACGGGTCAGAATCATAAAAGGGAGTCCAACCCTACCTGGAGCCAATCCAGTGAGGGCTAACGGCTATCAGAATAATCATGAATACCTGCGCTTTCTAAGATCTTCCAGTGGGCACTGTGAGATCGATCAATCAAGCCCCACTTTTGGCCTTTTCGTTGCTTTCGTGATCGTTTGTAAGACAGTTTGCCGCCACAGGGCCTGTCACAGACAAAATTTCACTGACTCACCACAGTGATTTAGGAAGCCGGGGCGGTGCCTTCAGACTTGTCACCCTGCCCGTCACCGCCGCTGCCATTGCCTTCCGACTGGAGCGCAGCCAAGCGTGCCTTGACGGAGCCAGGCGATCAGAAAGTTGAAGCAAAAAATAAATCAATACACATGATATTCCGATGATGAAAGTGCCATGTCCTGCCTGAAAACGTGAGAGGACGTCAGCTGAAGATCCCGTCGATGCGGGTCCACCATTCTGACCAGCGTTTGCAGCCGAACCACGAGGACGTGGTCCTGGGCGCGCCCGAGGTTCAGCAGGAGCTGCTTGGATGTCATCCCCAAGGGCCCTTGCCAATTTGGGGTCATACAAGGCCCCCGATGGCCGGCACGACTCTGAGAGCAGTTGGTAGACCAACTGCTCACGAAGCCGCGACTTGTGAACCATGGTGCACGTGAAACCCAAGTAACGTCTCCGTGCTACGGCGCAGGCCAGCGCCACTGTGCCGTCAGAGGCCGCCAAATCAATGACGGCGCTGATGGAGTAAGTTGACAAAAAGTCTTCCACCACACGCCGCTCCTTGCCGTGCCAGAAGACTGGTTCCAAAGTCTCACGGTTTTTGGTGATGGCTCCACGACCAGGATTCTCCTGGTCTGCAGGCCCCCTCCCTCCCACAGCAACGCGGCATGGTCCGTAGAGCTCTGCCTTCTCCTGAAAGGAATCAAAGAAGAACAATGACAAGTAATTTGCCAAAACGAAGAGATTTTGGCATTTTAAAAATATGTCATGCAAAAGTAGGTCAAGCAGAAATGAGAATCTTACATTATACCTATGCCAGAGTATTAAACTATGTTGCGTTATACGGTAACCCTGCCTTCACTGTCAGCTGCCACCGCTCTGACAGGGGCGCCTTCAGAACCGGTCCCAGGTAATTTCCATGAGAACTGCCACGGAAATGCACGCGGCTCTTCTCCTTCACGACCTGGATGAAAGGTTCGGCAGTAATGAGGCTGCAATGCTCAATCTGGTTTATTGTGGC